GGCACACCCGGTGCCTTTACCTGCGACCCCCTGCAGCTCCTGCCCTGATCGATGCGCCGGTGCCATCCAACACCGTCCTCATCCGAGCTGGCTGGCCCCCTGTCCCCATCCTGTGTGACAAACGCTGCCGGAGCCCGCAAAGGTTGCACCTTCCCACATCCCCACAGCACCCCAATGTCACCGGGAACGTGCAGCTGAGTGACGCTGCCACAGAACCCCCCTGCACGGGCAGGCCTGAGCTCCCCCTGCCCTGTTCTGCTGCGGGGTTGTTCTGTGCACAAAGTGCAGCAGCTCCGAGAGGCACAAAAAGCCGCTCAGCCTCTGCAGTTCAGGCGCTTTCACAGCCCCGGCCTGGGAACAGCGGCAGCCGGAGCAGAAAAGCTGCTTCTGTACAAAGGCCAAGCAATCAAAACCCACCAGCTAAGGCTCCTTTTTCAAGACCTATGGGAAACCAGGGCCTTTTAGGAGTTTATGCCATTTCCCAGCTCTTCCACCCCCCTGCATTTAACCTCTCTAACTTAAAACACCAAGAAGTAGGGCAGCTCTGCAGCTCCCACTGAGCCCTCACATCCCCACACCCCACAGATGAGCGGCCCAGCCCCTCGAACAAACACGGAGCTGCTCCAGCCCCAGACCAGAGCACAGACGGGAGAACCGTGCTCCCGTGCGTTTGCTTCCCCCTTGGTACCCTCTGTGCTGGGAGCAGCTGAGACCCAGGACACCGGGGAGGTGCAATAGGACGCAGCAAACACCGGCTGTATGGAGCACACAGGCACCTACTGGGGCTGTGGAGCAGCTTTTGCCACCTCCCCATCGCGTCCGAGCAGACTCAAATGCACGGCCGGGTGGGTAACAAAGGCAACGACTGCCCTGAGAAAGGCAAAGGCTCTTGGAGCAGCGCTATCCTGACCTGGCTACGGTGAAAGCACCCAACACCCAACACCCAACACCCACCCCTCTGCCTGCTCCTCCCGTGGCCATCCAGGCTGCACCCCCCGGGCCAGCGGCAGCGGGAGCCGCCCCGAAACCAGCCGGAGGGTGCCCCGAACACAGCAGGAGGTGAGCGCCTGCCCCCCTGCAAGCACTCGGTGCTGGAGGACGGACAGCACCAGGGAAACCTCCCGATGAGATGAGAACAGCCACGGCAACGTGGAGGAACTCCAGCAACGGCCTCGTAACGCAGATGGTGAATACACAGCGGTGGGAGCCAAATTTTGGACTGGAAAAGATCATGAGAAGAGCGACAAACACGTAACTTTATTGTTTATGTACAAATGACAGGAGTTTGTATTACAAAGAGAATCCACCCGGCCTCAAAGATAGCAAAGAGCGAGGCGGCTTCGAGCTCCGGCCTTCCCTGCGTCTAAAAGCACGGCGAACATTGTAGGGGATGGTGTTTAAAACAAGAGAGGGAAAGGGCATGAGCTCCTTCTTCCCGGCTGGAGCGGGAACCAAGCTGAGCTGTTCCACAAACGGAGAACCTGCCACTCACATGGACCGACACAGAGAAACCAAGGGTCGGTTTGTTAACGATACACTCTGGTATATAAAACAACAACAAAACCCCAAACGAAACCCGATCTACAAAGCTACATATCAGCAACAGAAGTCATCTAAGTCGTTCAGCGCGGATGGGACGAACCGGATCAGCCCCGGGCTCCAGGGGAAAAAGGAGAAACACCCCCGTGTGGGTCTGCAGGGCCAGGGGCGGCAGCGGCAAATCAGCCAACGCGGGGAAGCTCCCGAAGCGCAGAGCAGGCAGGAACTCAGGATCACTACCACTACCACTACCACGACACCTCGGTCCTGCTGCGCCTCGGGCGGTGTGAAAACGATGCAAAGACGCGGTCCAGGCTTCGTCCCCATCCACGATCTTTAGCGCCAGCCGCTCCCGTCTGCAGACGCCTCCCGTCCGGGCGATGGGCGCTGTTCTCGGTGGGGTTCACGGGGCCCTACATGCCAGGAGAATCGGCACTGAGCAGTCTAGTAGTCCTGCGGAGAGAGGGGAGGACGGGCACGTTACAGCTCGGCTCCAGGCCCCGCTGCAGAGCTGGGCTGCTCGGTCTCCTCTCACTTCTACACACCAACACTTGCAGGCAAAACAGAAAAGAGAGGCGTTTTCCTGCAGCTCAGCATTCAAAAGAGAGAGGGCCCTTCGAAACCTCAGCTCAAGAGCGCACCAACCAAACCCAGAGGCTTCTGGATCACGAGGTAACAGGACACAGAACAGCTTCTCCACGGGAGCACAGGAGTTAACAGCGACCCGGCTCCAGCCGAGCGGCCTGGGCTCGTGTGCTGTACATCCACACCACATTTCATAGCACGACACTCCTGAACCGTGAGCACAAGCTCTTAAACCCCAGCTCGTCACGACAAGGAGCCAGTGCGCCAGCGTACGACGGGCAACGCAAACAACGACAGCGCTCTGATACTTACGGCTCTTGGCTTTTTGTTTAACTTGAGATCAATCCTGTGGTTGGAAAGACAAGAGAAACGTCCATTTCAATACATGACACCAAGACGGTCAAAGCAGCAGACACCGCACGCGGCTACGACAGAGGCTACGTGGTTAACGCGGCCCGGCCGGCTGAGCCGGGCCTGCCCGGCGCCGCGGGGCGGGAGCAGCAGGCGCAGAGCGGGCTCTGCTTTAGGCGCCTCCCGCCCCCCACAAGCGTTAATTCAGGCTCACGGTTACGACCACGGGGAGGTTACGCAGCGTAAGGAAATCGGGTGAGACACGCATGCTCTATGGTAAGGTCGTTAGAGGTGCGGCTGTGGCACGGGTCATTATCCAGACACAGCGGTGACAACGGTTATCGACTGGGGACAGAGGCAGGGGCGCGGGACGAGGGGTGACAGGAGTCTATGGCGTTTCTCCAGGAGGAAACATCCAAGTCTACGCTAATCTCCTCAGGAAGCAAAGCCAGAAGAATCAGGTTGTAAACTACGGGTTTTTTTACGTTAAAAAGGATTCTCTATCAATTAACAACGAGATAGAAAGGTAAAGGAGAGTGGAGTTAATTGGATTTTGCTGAAGTTATTAAATAAAATGTTACCTCCATCACGCTTTTCTGTTTTTAAAAAAAACTTCCCAGCCTAACCTAATATACATACCTACAATTAAACAGATAAACTATGGGTTAGAAAGGTCTCAAAAGGCACATTGGTGTCTACACACTAACAACACAGCACAAGTACTAAGTCAAGTCCAACTTACTCAAAGTCATAATCAAACATGCCAGACGGGCTGAGGGGCAGCATTTGAAAGGAAGAAAGCAATAGAAATTAATATACTAACGAATTAAATCAATTAGTTGATTAGCCACCCTAGCGAGATCACTAAAAATGAAGTAAAACAAAATAAATCCTAAAGGCAGCGTTCAAACGCCGCAGCGTTCTTATGGTATCTTAACCCCAACCGGGCACCGAGGGCACCCCAGGCTGGGCACCCGAATCCCCCTCCCCATGGCTCGCTGGGACCACAGAGCTGTTAGAGCAGAGGCAGAGGTGTCGAGGAGGGGTTTTGGGTGCTGAGGAAGCTCAGCGCCTGAGCGTGCACAGGCTCAGGGGCAGAGAAAACCGGATTTGCCTGCAGAAACGGGGCCCGAGAGCAGCGGCTTTGTCACCTCCTTTGTCGCGTTGGCACAGGGCAGCAAAGCTCAGTCAGGCACAGGAGGGACCAGGGGCTGGGTCCGCACTGGGGTGTTCATGGCACACACACACACACACACACACACACACACACACGTACACACACACACACACACCCCCCCTTGGAGAGTCCCCCAGAGCCCAGGGCCATTGGGGCAGCGCTCGCCGTGGTCTGGGCCGTTCCCACCCCTGGCCTCAGCGCCCCCACGGGCACCACCCCCATATCAGTGGGTTCGGTGCAAAGGACGGGCCCTCAAACCGCTGAATTTGGTGGCTCCTCAGCACTGAATGTCTATGGGGAGCAGTGTTTTCTCCCAAAATACCTTTTGGCCATGAGAACTGAGCACACAAAACAACCCCCACGGCCCTGCTGTGCGCTCAGAGGGACAGAGATCACCCCGCTATGGACACTGTGACCTCCATCCCCTCCGGTTTTAACTGCGGGACTAAACCACCAGTTCCCCCAGCTCTGCCCAGTCCCAATCCCACTTTCCGCACCATGGCAAAGGAGCAGGGAAACCCCAGTGCATTTGCCAGGGGAGCCAGCACAGGGCCCTGCCCAGCACCTCCTGGGTCCTCGGGAACAGGCAGGCACAGCTCCAGCGAATGCTGCCAAACAGGAGCTCCTGAGCAGAAGGAAACCCCAGAGTGTATTTCTGTTTTCTCCTTTCTTTGCACTCTGTGCCACTCAAGCAGCACACGCAGGTCTCTTCCGAAGGAGCGCTCTGGGCTGCAGTGCAACGCAAGCACTCGGCTGCACTTTGACAGACTGGGACTGTTTGGTTTGGGGTTTTTAACTGAGACAGACCTGAAATGTGTTCGGTCTTTCCTGCCAAAATTTAGGGGATAGTCAGTAACAACAATCACAACTTTAGCAGAGTTTTGTGGGGGTTTTGTCCTGTTTTTCACAGACAAATGCAATGTTCTTCTTGTACCCACACACCCGGCCACGCTGAGCACTACAGAGCAGTCGCTACAACTGCAAAGCCCCTGTGGACGGGGACCCCCAGAGCAGCCGGGCCCAGGGCTCCCCATGCCCAGCTCCATCCCTGGCCGTGCCAGCGCTGCTGCAGTGGGAGGCAGCAGAGACCCCAGCGCCCCCCAAACCTGGCAGCTCCTCCCCAGCTCCTGTCATGCAACGCAGCAAGGGAATCTGCATTACTGACAGCATTGGTACTGCACCCCGCTGCGGTGGACGGCTTTGCTGTCCACGTAAGTGCTTCGTGGAATAGTTTATAATTTGAAATGGCAATGATCTTAAGCCGTACTGCAGCTTCACAGATGGCTTCTCTGCCCTCGTCTACAGAGGTGATTTCTGGTGTTGTTTCTGAGCTTCCTTCCCATTGCCTACAGCCAAAAACGCGTCTTGAACTGCTCTGGGTTCCCAGCTGCAGGGGATCCAAAGGGACACCCTTCAACTTCAGGGTGTTTGCCCAATTAAAAGTGCCGCAGGAACAAAATTCTGATCTAAGAATTAAGAGACACTAATGACCCAAAACCTAATGGAGAAAAGGTAGTTAAACGTCTTCCAAGAGCTCTACCTACCTCTGCAGCTCCCAAACCAGCCCTCCCCAGCAACCCCTGTGCATTTTTACCGCTTCTCCTTAAACATTTCTCTCATAATTGCACGGGAAGGCCCCTGAAGAGGAAAGCCCATTTGTACACAAAGCCAACAGCCCAGGGTTAGCGAGAACACTGATTTGTAAGAGCTCCTTTATTCCTCATAACCTCTAGGGACCAGCTCCAGCAGTCACTCCAGAGAGGTGCAGCTCTGCAGGGTCTTCCCAAGAGCAGCAGTTTCCACGCCTTCCCCTGGGCCCTGACTCCGCAGCACATCCCCACCACGCTCTGGGTATCCCTGATGGATCTGGACATTGCTGGCTCTGCACGGCAGGAGCCGATCTCCGGTTCCTGAGCCACCAGCCCATAACAGGGGTGTGCTTAGGGGGCAGAACTGGTCACCTAAATCCAGCCATAAAGGGTTCGGGAAATCTTTGTTTCAGGTGAATTTCAGGTCCGTTTAGTAACAAATACTTTGAGGTTAACTCTTCCATGTCATAATGGGAACAGACTCAGTTTGGGAGGTGGCAGCTGAAAGGGCTTAGAGTGGAAATTGTAGTGAGGATGCAAGCCCCAAACCATCCCAGTTTGCCTTTTCACCCTCCTCCTCCAAAGGAAGCACTGACAATCCCATCTTACTTGGGTGTGCAGAAACCCAGAAGCAAGCAGAGGAGGTCAGGGCTGCAACCCCCCTCCTCAGGAAGGAGGCCAGGGGAACTGAAAAGCCCGGCCAAAAGCATCGCTGCGCAGAGCTGGAGCTGGCACCCTGTGCTGCCCCCTCCTCGGTGCAACGGGCGAACGCTACAGGATGTGTGCAGCTAAAGACCAGGAAAATCACCAAAACCAACGACCTGAGCTGCTCACTGCTGTAACACGTTACTGGTTCCTTTCCCACGCGCAGCCAGGTCAGCAGGCAGGACATGAGGCTGCCGGTGCCACTAACCTGTGCCGATTTTTGTTCTTCCGTTTTTTGTGGCTGCTGTGGTGGCTCCCAGAAGAGGTGGAGGAAGCCGCCTTCTGGGGTTTCACCCCCTGCACAGACCCGTCCAGCTCCTCAGCGTCCTCCTGGCTGGGCTCGTTCTCCTGATTGTGGAAGTCTGGAGAGGTGTCGCTCTCTGTGCCGCTGCCTGGCTCCCCTGGGGCAGGACAAAGGACGGGCAGAGGTGACCTCCCCAAAAAGGATTTGCAGAGGTGACCTCCCCATGGCTCACACCCAGCCCACCCCAGCAAAGCCCTGGGGAAGAACCAACCCCAGCGATGGCAGCCGGGGCAGCAGACATTGAGCCTTGTGGCACCAGGGGGTCAGAGAACCCAAAAAATACCTCTGAGGACAGCAAGCAGCCTCCCCAGCAACCGATGCACACTTGAATTGCATCTGATTTGGCACTGATTACAAAAACATTCTTAAAAGTCCTGATCACAAGCAGCTCCTCCCCACGTCGCTTGCAGCTGACACACAGACACCTTGCTTCAGCTCATTCCCCAAAAGCACCAACTCAATTTAAATAGGTTTTATGCGCAATAAACCCTTACTGAGCAGAAAAGTTTACTGGAGGAAGGAAGCTCAGCTTTTTCTCTTTCTTACAGTGCCACCTCGCTGACTGGTGTAGCTGGAGGCTGTGCTGGGAGCACTGGGGAGCCGGCTGAGGAGGAGCAGCCGCAGGTCCCTGGGCAGGGAGCACTGCAGGGAGCAGCGAGCACGGCACGGATCCAGACAGCTGGAGACAGAGCTGAACGGTGGGGCAAATCTTCCCAAATTCTGAGAGAAATGGAAAAGCGACTTACGCTTCTCAATGAGCTGGTCCTGAACTCCAGCTAACGCACTGACCGCCTAGAGAAACGAAAGGGATGTTAATGGAAGCTGTAACTCACTCACTGCTCTTCAAATGTTCAGACCCACAGAGATCACTTCACGGAGGAACACACATCAGGGCTCTGCCTGAAGGAGCTTATGGCCTCGCACCAGCACGGCACAGCAGGAGGGGGTCAGGAGCAAAAAGATAAAGACAGGGATGGCAGTGAAAGGGTGGCTCCCAACCGTGGTTCCCTTCCACCCCTCTGGGCACCAGGAAAAGGGATTCTGAAAGATGCTGGGATGAAGATGCACGGGTCACGGGGAGACGGGGCAGGTACAGGAGCTTAAACGGAAAACTGGTCCTGCAGAGCCTGGACGACCCCACAGGACCAGCTGCACCAGGAGCACCAAGGGATGGGGACCGGTACAGGGACGTCTGCCCAGCACTCACCGCTGCCGAGGTGACCGAGGACTTGCTGAAGAGCCGCTCGGCCTCCTTGAACTTGCGGTTCCTCCGGTCGTTTTTGCTGTTGGAGTTCCTGAAACAAGAGGGAAACAACATTGCAGGGGCTCGGCGGGCTGGGCAGGGGCAGGGGCAGGCAGAGGAAGGCGGGGAGGGCAGGGCCGGCGGGACTCACTTC